AAATTTCTCGAAGATTATCAGAAATGTTTATTTCAACAGAACTGAATAACACTTTTGTGTATCAGATATTGTAGTATTTTCAAAAGAGGTTGACACCTTATAGTACAACGAATTTAGAGAATAAATATGTGGGCCCCCCCCAGTGGCACAGAGGTATGTCTGCGGACTTACAACGCTAGAATCAGGGTTTCGATACCCGTGGTGGGCAGAGCACAGATAGCCCATTGTGTAGCTTTGTGCTTAATTGCAAACAACACAACAATGCTAACTATGTGGTTAAAGTCTATGTCGCTACGTTCGGTCATGTTCTATCTGACGATCGCGCATCTTGACAATAGCCCTGAAGCATAGTTTCTGTTGTAAATGGCTCCGTCGTTAGGCTGTCATTTCCAAAGTACATTACCCTTCCCTGTAGCTTTCTGTCATCTATCTGGTATAGGAAGACGACATTTTCCCAGCACGCATTTCAACAGTCCGATCGAACAGAGATTCATAGACGCTGCATCCAGCGACCTGACTGACATATCTTCGTATGGAATATTATGATGTATGCGGCGATTGAACGGACTTGTCATGGAAGCAACATGTGTACACGTGACTTGTGTTGCTTTTGCAGACGGAGATCCTTCTTGATTATGTTGTGTATTGTTGCTTGGGACACGTGCACAGCTTTTTGCCACTGATCCACGTATTCGTGGATTCTCACCTGTTACAAGACGCTGCTCTTTGCTTATGTCTTGGGTAAGACTTGTTGTAGGTCTTTTTATAGAGGGCAGAGATCGACCCAGTGGTTGTCGTGCCGGACTGTAGGGTCTAAGGTTCCGTGTCTCACGCCCCGGTGCCGCAAAATAATAATAATAATAATAATAAAATATATACGACTGGTCTTCGAATTTTCAGATCGTGGCGTAACATCACCTACAAATTGCCAAACAGTGTTAAACTGTAGGTCTGGTAAATTTCGTTCCATCACGGCTTTATATCGACTGTGTCTATCACGTAACTTGCTGATTTGCGTTTTCAAGATTGTTTTAATATAAAGTACTGTATTTGTGATTCAACAGGATGTGCAGTAGTACTATAATATGTAATATTCTGGTTATTCGAACTATTTACATTATTAATGTATTGGCAAGTTAATGTAAATAAAATTGAATTGAAGAGATTTCTAATAAGCGAACTTTCTTAAAATTAGAGGTATATGTTGGGAACATTAGGGGAATAGTTAACACCACCAAAGTGACGAACTGTTCGTAAACTTTTAATACTACTAATAAACGACCTCATAACACCAAATGTATTATTTTTATTTAATTGGGCACTCAAAGTTTCGCTTTACAGCCTCTTCAGGAGCGTTAGACTAAATCTCAAACCGTAACAGACAGTTACAAAGCTTCAGTTATAGTTTGGATATAAAAAAGGGAATTTTGAAAGCTTAACAGCTATAACATATCTCTATTGGAGCTGTTTGATTTTAATTTTAAAAATAAGATAATAGGTTGAACAATCGCCAAGTTTTTTATACTTCTATTTAAATTCAAATATAATTTTTCATATATTTTTTGTTTAAT